ACATCAATCTAACCAGGCTTAAAATCATCTAAAATCTATTCAAAATATCAAATACAAATACCGACGTTTAATTATCATAAAAAATATTTTGGTGACCCAATTTCTGAGCTCTAATTTTTGACACTCATCATTAAATCAACTATTACATAAATATTTCTGGTTGGCAAATACAGTAAAAATTTTTATTATTTACATTAAAAGAAGAAACTTTTTTTTTTTTTGTTATCTATTTAAGAAACTATTATCGTTTAATATTTAGTTGTATTCAAATATTTTTTCTATCTATCAACTCCTACTATTTTTACCTTCAAATAACTGAAGTTAGTTTCAACTACTTCAGCAACAGTTACCTAACTGCGTTTAATTCAATCAAAAGACAAAAAAAAAAGGCAATCAAATAGACGATAGAAAAATAAGCTGTCATTTCAATCAATCAGAACACAGACAGATATCTATTAACAAAAGTATTAAAAAAAAACTTTGAATCTAAATTTAGAAACTCGAATAAATGTGAACCAAACTGCTTCTGCTTCATTTTTCTCTTCTAATATAACTTTTAAATAGAAATTTATACTTTAACAGTAAAAGCTAAAAAAAACAATTAATCTAGAAAAAGATAGAATTAGTGTAATTGACATTAAATGATTACCTTAGCGCTAATTAGTATTCTGTTCAAAATGATTATATTATAGTGATTCTGATGATGTGCAGCCTCCATTTCTTCATACCGTTTCAGCACTGTTATATTTGCCGAAGCTCCAGCAGCATCCAAAAATGCATCGCTGTAATATACAAACGTACAAAACAGAAATCCGCAACAAAACCATATTGGCTTCAGAATATCTTTTAAAAATGACTAAAAAACCGTAAAAAAAATCAGTCTTTTTTTTGTTGCTGTTGTTGTCAAACATACTCTTCAGCTGAATCAGCAGCACTCAGATAAAGTACACTTTTAATACTGTCTATACAATCCACAGCATTAATAGCGTCAACAAATTCACGTTCTGCAGCTGGCATAATGTTGATGCTGTAAGTAAGTGCCTAGAATAAAATCAAGAAGTGTAAGTTTAACCTTTTTTTGTTTCTAGACAACAGTTATTTACTGTACCTTAAACTGCTGCCAATTTATTGCTTATAAAATACAGATTTAAATCAAATACAGCAAGAATAGACATTAATCAATTAATGTTTAACGCCAGAAAGAGCATCAGTAGAAGAAACTAAAAGTGACTTAATGTGCTAAACCTTTAAAATTTTTTTACAATTTTTATACTGCAAAAAGAAGAAAAAAACGATGACAATTATAACAACACTTCTCAGTGCTCAAACAACCAGGCATTAACCGCAGAACTGATCAACTGTTCCAAATTACACTGTATTAAACCGTACAGAAATTTGTTGCATAAAGTAAAAAAAAATTGTCAAAAATAAAAATAATTTGCAGTAAAATAATTTGTAAAAAAATGAGAAAGGTTTTTTTGCTTTTTTTTGCTAACAAAACTGTACATCAGTTTTTGAGTTCAAAAAAAAAAAAAAAAAAA